GGCCTGGCAGGGGCACCCCATGGTTCCCTCCCCCCTCCTCCTGCTCCCCATCCCCTGCCCCCTACTTACCAGCTCCACATCTGGCTCCAGCTCCCTGCTATAGCGGGCGGGGACTGCTCGAATCATTGAAGCTCTCCGAATCTTTTCCGAAGATTCAGAGAGCTTCGAATCAATTCGGACCTTTTTATGGGTCCCCTGATTCGATCTTTGGATTTGGAGATTTGGCCACTGAATCGGGCCGAATCTCCTCCAAATCAAATCAGCACCTGAAGCTTCACACAGCTCTAGTAATCGTGTAGTGGGGATTTTCAGAAGTGCCTAGACACCTGATTTCTTGAAATCAATAGGCATTAGTTATCTAGAAAAGCTTGAAGATGCCACAAGTGCAGGTATAGATGTACCTTTAAAAATCTGGTTCTTAGTTCTTGCAAGTGTTTAATCCTAACAAAAAAGTAGTTTTGGACCTTCCATTACCATTGGTTGCCTGGAAACTGAGAAACTGAAAAGCTCAGGAATAGGCCCTATTTGCCAAACGGAACACTTACAAACCTGGATTTGTGATTTGCAATAGAAGTCCCTCCTTTTACATATGAACACGCTCCTCTAGGCAGAAGTGGGAAGTTTAATTTACTTGTGAAAGCTGGAGCATATTCATGAAAATAAGCTGAATTTTAGAAGTTCTGATATGAGTTGGTCCTTGTAATAACTTAAATCAGGTATAGCAAATCAATGGAAAATACATTTTACATGTTTTATTTGTACAAATGTAATTAGTATTGCATTACATCAAAACCACTGTTTTCCCTAATTTTTTGGTAATGTGAATGGACACTTGAGTTTATTTTTTTAACTGTTCCTAGCTGATTGAGTAGGTGAAGGAAGCTTGAATTTACCTTTATGTTGCATTTTATTCAATGCGAAGGACAAATGCCCAGAACATCAGAACATTTGTAAAAACCAAATTCAAATGCATTTTAAAAATAAAAGTCACGGATATAATTGGAGACACTTTTTGAGACCTGATTATTTTCTGTTTGCATAAACATATAACCCTGAGCCTCAAACAATTGAGGAAAAGTTCACGTCTGATTTTAATAATTATTGATAACTCATAAATGTAAATAAAAAATTTTATTTGAACCCTAAAGATATTTTACTACTAATTGTGACTGATTGTAAGGAAGTGCTCTGCTACTGTAGCATTTTATTACAGACAGTGCTTCTAAAGGAATGGCCCATCCAACGGGTGATGAATTTGATTTACCTACTTGAGATACAGTAAAACAGGAAAGAGATTATTACACCTGGCTATTGATCTGTTTTCAGAAGATATTTTATTAACCCAATGTATTTATTAACTTGACTATAGATTGAACATGTTGAAATACATTTTACAGTTGGCCTCTTTTCCCAATATGATTTTAGCTGCTTTATTCTCAAAAATAAAAACCAATAAGAGTTACAGTTTGGAAGTATTTGTAGTGCTTAATAATCTGAATGTGTAAATTTTTTTTAACCCGGATAATATAGAAACTAGGTGAATAGTACATCTCACACACTGCTGTGAGTAGTAATAAAAATATACAACTCGCAGTTGGCTCACAATTGCTTGCAACCCCACTTCTGGTCTGTATCCATCTATTATGTTGATTTGTGTATGCCTGCACTCCTAAGCACTGCAACCCTCGTTTAGGAGCTGCTGTTTTAGTGCATTGTGAATGAAAGTAAATGAGTAGATAAAAATAAGGGAGAGGCTGTGAGGGTGACACAGAATGACAAAGTTGATAGACTGAGTAGATTAAAAAGAGAAATGGAGTACTTGGAGATTTGGGGCAAAGATGTGTGTGAGAGAGAAAATACAGAAAGGGAGGTAGAAATTAGTGTTGGGAAAGAAGGGGAAGCAGAAGATTACGGGGAAGGGGAAAGAAAGAAAAGAAAACAATCTTAAACTAACTTAAAGATCTGTTATCTAAAGAAAAGTAACTGCAAACAAGCAGAGATGCAGCAAGCTTCTATTTTATACTTGTATTTTTTCACATACCTTACACCCCCAAATAAGGGACAGGAGAATGAAAAAAAGATTTTTTTTTTCTAGTCTTTCCTACCACCACATGAGTTTACCAGGGTGAAAGGCTCCAACAAACATGCAGCTGCAAAGCTCAAGGATTGCAGCTGCAAAGCTCAAGGATTAACCCTGTCACAGCTACTGTTGAATTGGCAGCAGCTTTTGGCTGATCTTTGGAGCTGCAAGTAAAGAGTGAATGATGCTGAGAACTGGACTCTGCCTCCTCTGCAAGTCTGTGGGAGCACAGCCTGTTACAGCCACTCCCCATGTCTCCATCCCAACAGAGAAATTGGTTTCCTTGTTTAAAGCACATACCTCGGTTTTGAATGGCTAATTTCTGAGAAAAGGGTGATGTAAATACATGTGGCATAATGTGTAAGTTAATTGACAATATATACAATATACAGCAAATGATGTGCAGCTGCTTTGTTTTATAAATTTTAGCATCCATGCGGAAAATGGTACTATATACAGTTATATTCACCTAGATAAAAGTTTGAACCTTCTGACTAGCAGAGGGCCAAATAAATGTTTTGTTTAAGTTTCTGTTAGAAAGTAATAGAAGCACACTTAACTTGACCCACTGAAGTGCAAAAGAAGATTCAGTGAAACTAATAAGCAGATATTGTATGACAGACTGACAGCTCTTTGACAAACTATTTTTGGTAAGCCAGAGACCAGGAGTCATTAAAGGGAATATAAATGAGAGATTAATATTATGCATTCATATTAATATATTAATAAACACAATTCTCTATTTTGTGTTGTTTTAAAATTGATATTTTCAGGTCACCAAGATCTTTCAAAAGAAGAAGAACTCGGTCACGTACAGTTTTCGACAGTCCTTTTCTCTTTATGGAATGCAAGTTCTTCTTTTTGAGAATCAGTGTAAGTATTTTTTTTCTCTGTTTTTAGGTGACCATGTGGTTTCTGATGTGGCAATGAAGCATTGCACATTAGTTTTCTAGATTTGAGAATGAAGTTAGTGTATGTTGCAATTGACCCTGGAGTTAACTACATCACGCTGTCTGAACATAGGAGGCAGAAGGACTGTTGGAAGATTTCTGGCCTAAGGCTAGGAGTCTCATCTAACTCAGTGTGATTTTTCTGAAAATAATGGGAACAAATTTGGCATTATCCATTACTGGTCACAAGGTATAATGGGATGAGCTATATTTATCTATCATAACATATAATGACTATGAGTGAAGTTTGTGGAAATGCAGATCACTATTCAATTTATTTACTGATTTATAATTAATCTCTGTGACTAGGGCCCCTGTTATACATTACCTATATTAGGCAATTAACTGGTTAATCATGCAATAAATTTAAACCAGCCACATGTACAAAGTAATTATCACTTGATAAAAATGACTATCCAGCTATTAAAAGGGCCAACCAACTTATAACGTTAGTGCTTGAAAATGTGTAACAACTCTATACCTGGTTTCTGTCTCGCTTTAATTTGCCTGTGTTGCAGGGCCCTAGGTAACTTATTGTTATTAATACAAACTCAAAATATAGTTAGATAAAGTTTTTTACTTATCTTGTGGCCAGATATTCTAGAAGCAATTTAAAGGCTGTGCCAGTCCAGAGTGCCTTCAAGGTACTATCAAACTTGTCAAATTCAGTCTCCAGGAAACAGCAAAAAATAAGAGGTTCTTACAAGTAGTGTTTTTCCATGTGAATATCTTGCCCTTGTAGATTTTAACTCCAGACATCAATAATAGCAAGACAGCAAAACATAGTTCTCTTTGGAGCATAGTGGGAAGGTGGTGTCTCTGACTGTAAACAAACATCACATTTCTTCCTGGAGAAAGCCTTTTGTCCTGGGATCCTACAGTCATAAAAATCTGTTGTTCTGCTTTAAGTACCTGTGCGATAGGCAAGAGAAAATGTGCTAATACTATACTTTGGGATACAGCTGTGTGCGTCTGTAAGTTAATTGCTGGTGGGTCAAGTTGAGTCATTCCAGGGACAAGGATTCAGTCTGCATCTTGCTGGCCACCTACTGGCAGAAGACCATTAATGCAGCACGGAAGGGCTACATGTGTAAATGACTGTCCCCTGCCTGCTTTGATATGGGTGAAAACCCCAGATAATTAGGGCTCCTTTGGTGAGACATAAGTTTACAGTCTCTGACAATAGGTGTCCACATCACATATGACTCTCTCTAGGGCCTAGTCAAAACATTAACCTGTATAACAGCCCCAGTACAGTTCACAGTATTGCATGTGATAGTTTGTTTTCCTCCGAAGTGGACAGCACTTAAAGTTCCCAGTGAACTCTAAAAATAGCAATATGTTGTAATGGCTCATGTCAAGAAAAGACATGCTTAATATGTCTTGCCATATTTTATATGAACTGAAGCATCTGAGTGATTCTACTGCATAGCCCCATGTTGACTGAATAGCTGCAATCTAGCCACAAGGTTACAAATGCGTATAGTTCATATTGAAGAGGTATACCTACAGTCTGCTGTTCCTCATACATTAAAACAGGAGTAAAGAGAGGTAGTTAGCCATATTAGTCTGCCAGCAGAAGGCAAGGTGATATGACACCTTAAAGACTACCTCCATCAGAAAGCATAAGCTTTTGCAGTGAGAACCTGTTTCATCAGGTGCTATGAAAAAGTAGGTTGTCCCCTACAAAAACTTATGCCTTTTTGATTGAGTTAGTCTCTAAGGTGCCACTCTCCCCTGCCTTTTAAATGAAAACATGTCTACTATCATGTAGATATCTAGAAGCAGTGATGGATCTGATGTGGCAAAGATCAGACATGCACCTTTCCCAGGACACACTGACTTGATCCTATTTGTGTAAAAGGAAATCCACAGAACTATTGATTCAGCTGAAATGAGATGTCTCTGAGTGCTTCCTGAGTACTGATGAAACTGTGGCCAGCCTATATCCCTTGTTGCTTGAAGAAGGCCAAACATATTGAAAAGGAGGGGCAACAGAGTGTACCCTAGAGGGTTCCTTATGTGAGATATATTAGGAAGTCGAGGAGCAAAATCACTGAAGCTTGTTTTCCAAAGAAATTACAGTTTCTCCAGATGGCCTCTGTGTGCTGTTATTTGGGAACAAATTGTAAACCGCACAGGTAGCTGGGGGAAGAGAGTCTCTTCCCAGTATTACATATGAAATACATATTCTCCAAGCCTTCTTTCACCCGTGGTGCTGTTCCTCAAAATCCTTCAAGACTAATACTTTGACTAGAGAAAGCAAGAAACAAATGTTGCCATTTTATCCAGAAAATGTCATAGCTGTCGGAATCAATTTGAGGATGGAATTTGTGAATATTCAGAGAGCAGTGTCAAAGCAAACATTACACTTAAGACATAATTTACTTGTTAATTGTGCCATAAATAGTAACCCAGCCACACATTTTGGCAGTTAGTAGAACAACAACAAGGGAACATAGCAATAAAATATTCCGCAAAATATGTATAATATTTTTGTGGGTGGTTTCCACTGCATCTAAAATTGAAAGTGTGGCAGTGTAGCCCTGTCACACAGCCTAATGCCAGCTACATGACAAAACTTGGTTAACTACTGCCCTTGTTGGCAGGCTAATAGGTGGGGTGTTGAGCCGGGGCTGCGCTAGGCAGCTGGTGGCAGCAGCACTGGAAGCAGAGCAGCAGCAAAATTTGGGGTGGATGCAGCATCTTCCCAGTGCCACTGGTGCCCACTCCAAGCCCAGCCCCTATCAAGAAGAGCCCTGCGCAGCCCTGGCTGCAACCTGCCCCACCCCACCCCATGCAGATCTGGGGGCCACATGCTCCCCTGTGCCTCCCAGGGTGCAAGCAGTAGCGGGGGCTGCCTCCCTCCTCACACAAGCTGCGGCTCCACCCCCCACGACC